GACAGTCTGGAGGCTCCATGTGGATTATCCTCACAACTTGAGGGAGACTCTTGAATTTCACAGCTGAGTGGTGTCGAGGAAACTTCAAAGAGAAGGACTTCAAAGGGAGAAATGCACTGCAGACTGAAGTGTAGTTGCCTCTGAGTTTTCTCAGGCTGTGAACATTTTGGGAGGAGACAGTAGTCGAGGGGAGAGATGAATCTGTGTTTTTTCCTTTCAAGAAGACACAAAAACATGTTTTTAGAGATAGTAGGAACTGCAGATGCTGGAGAATCTGAGATAACAAGGTGTAGAGCTGGATGAACACAGCAGGCCAAGCAGCATCAGAGGAGCAGGAAGGCTGATGTTTCGGGCCTAGACCCTTCTTCAGAAATGGGGGAGGGGAAGGCGATTCTGAAATAAATAGGGAGAGAGGGGGGAGCGGATAGAAGATGGATAGAGGAGAAGATAGGTAGAGAGGAGACTGACAGGTCAAGGAGGCGGGATGTGGTTAGCAGATAGAAGATGGGGATGGGGCTTGAGGTGGGAGGAGTGGATAGGTGGGAGGACAGGTTAGGGAGGCGGGGACAAGGCAGGTAGTAGCCTACCGACTCCCACAGCTGCCTAGAATACACCTCCTCTCACCCACCTTCCTGCAAAAATGCCATCCCCATTCCCAATTCCTTCGCCTCCGCCGCATCTGCTCCCAAGATGATGCATTCCACTCCCGGACATCCCAGATGTCCTCGTTTTTCAAGGACCGCAACTTTCCCTCCACAGTGGTCGAAAATGCCCTCAACCATGTCTCTCGCATTTCCCGCAACTCATCCCTCACACCCCCTCCCCGCAATAACAACCAAAACAGAATCTCCCTCATCCTCACATACCACCCCACCAACCTCCGGATCCAACGCATCATCCTCCGACACTTCTGCCATCTGCAATCTGACCCCACCACCAAAGACATTTTTCCCTCCCCACCCTTATCTGCTTTCCGGAGGGACCACTCTCTCCGTGACTCCCTTGTCCGCTCCACACTCCCCACCAGCCCCACCACACCCGGCACTTTTCCCTGCAACCGCAGGAAGTGCTACACCTGCCCCTACACCTCCCCCCTCACCCCGTCCCAGGCCCTAAGACGACCTTCCACATCAAACAGATGTTCATCTGCACATCTGCTAATGTGGTTTACTGCACCCGCTGTTCCCGTTGTGGCCTCCTCTACATTGGGGAAACCAAGCAGAGGCTTGGAGACCGCTTTGTGGAACACCTATGCTCGGTTCGCAACAAACACCTGCACCTCCCAGTCGCGAACCATTTCAACTCCCCCTCCCACTTCTTGGACGAAATGTCCATCTTTGGGCCTCCTGCAGTGCCACAACAATGCCAGCCGAAGGTTGCAGGAACAGCATCTCATATTTCGCTTGGGAACCCTGCAGCCCAATGGTATCAATGTGGACGTCACAAACTTCAAAATCTCCCCTCCCCTGACCGCATCCCAAAACCAGCCCAGCTCGTACCCGCCTCCCTAACCTGTCCTTCCTCCACCTATCCACTCCTCCCACCTCAAGCCCCACCCCCATCTTCTATCTACTAATCTCATCCCGCCTCCTTGACCCGTCCGTCCTCCCTGGACCGATCTTTCTCATCCCTAACTCCCCACCTACACTCACCTTTACTGGCTCTAACCCCGCTTCCTTGCCCTGTCTACCTCCTCTCCACCTATCTTCTCCTTTATCCATCTTCTATCCGCCTCCCCCTTTCTCCCTATTTATTTCAGAGTCCCCTTCCCCTCCTCCATTTCTGAAGAAGGGTCTGGACCCGAAACGTCAGCTTTCCTGCTCCTCTGATGCTGCTTGGCCTGCTGTTTTCATCCAGCTCTACACCTTGTTATCTCAGATTCTCCAGCATCGGCAGCTCCTACTATCTCTCTCAAGCACAGCAGAATTCTTTCCCTAAATGACTTTAGTGAATCTGATGGTTTGTCCGACAATCAAGAATGGTTACACAGCTGATATTAGGCTAGCTATTAACGCAGCACTCCTTTGGACTTCAGCTCAACTCCTTGGAGCAGGACTTGAACCTTTAGAATCAGTGGCTCACTGAGCCACAGCTGTCACCAGCTATTACTTTCGGTCATGACCTAGTATACTTTGATTGGGACTTTACAGTTTTTCGTATATTCTTTAGTTATGATTTGCAACTTCTTCCAAAGAGATCATTGGTGTGGTTCAGAAAGACATCTTTCTGCCTGTGATGTTGTGCAAAGAATGGTAATTTCTTCTTTTTTAAAGTCTTCCTTCCCTACATATGGCAGATTTCCTTCCTGAAAGGGCATGCATGAACAAGATCGGTTTTTACAATTGACAGTGTTTATGTGGTCACCATTCTGATCACCAATTCTGATCCTTGTTTTCAGATTTGTCTGTGGTTTTACTCCATCCATTATCTGTATTCCCCTCAGAAATATCTGCATGCCTTTTATTCTGGCCATATGAGTATCTTTTATTTTAATCACTGCGCCATTTGTGGCTGTGCCTTCAGCTGCTGAGGCCTCAGGCTCTGTTTCTACATCTTTCTGTTTTTTCATGTCACTTGCCTCCTTCAAACTAGATAATACAGTGTGGACCTGGATGAACACAGCAGGCCAGGCAGCATCAGAGGAGCAGGAAAGCTGACGTTTCGGGTCAGGACCCTTCTTCAGAAATGGGGGAGGGGATGGGAGCTCTGAAATAAATAGGGAGGGAGGGCGGTGATAGCAGGTAGATAATGGAGTGGATAAGTGGGAGAGAAGACTGACAGGTCAAGGAGGTGGGGATGAAGCTCGTAAAGGTGAGTGTAGGTAGATAGTCGTGGGGATTAGTCAGTGAGTGGAAGAGCGGATAGGTGGAAAAGAAGATGGACAGGTCAGTGAGGTGGGGATGAGAGGGGGGCGCTGGTCTTGGGATGAGGTCGGGGGTGGGGAGATTTTGAAGCTAGTAAAATCCACATTGAGACCATTGGGTTGTAGGCTTCCAAGGTGGAATATGAAGTGCTGTTCCTCCAGTTTCCGGGTGGCATCGTTGTGACACTGGAGGAAGCCCAGCATGGACGCGTCGTCCAGGGAGTGGGAGGGGGAGTTGAAGTGGTTCACGACTGGGAGGTGTTGCCATTTGTCGTGAACCGAGCGTAGGTGCTCTGCAAAGCGGTCTCCGAGCCTCCGCTTGGTCTCATCGATGTAGAGGAGGCCACATCGGGAACAGCGGATACAATAGACCACATTCAAACCACCTCTGTTTAAGCCTTCGGTCTCCTGATATCTCATTAGTCAGCTCAGTGTCATATTTGGTTCTATAATGCTTCTGTGAAATCCATTTGGCTATTTTATCACATTAAAGGTGCTTTGTGAATAAAAGTATTGTCATTGGTTGCAATCTTTTGTTCCTGCGAATAGAATTGCAGTCATTATTTACATCACAAAATCAGGCATTTATTTTTTCCAAAAATGTATATTTCATCTATAAAGAGCTATTTCTAGACATTAATGGATAACCTTCTAGTTTCATGGTATGGGCTGGGAGCTTTGTTTTGCAGAATTTCACAATTTTTGTTGCCTGCTGTGCATGATTGGTAAAACATCTGCAGCAAGTTCCAAACTTCGTAATTTTGCTAACGGCAGGTGAGGCTCCTCACCAGCAGAGTGAAGTCAGAAAATCTCTGTTTCAAAATTATTAAGACAGTGTAATGGTAATCACTAATGTGCCACCCTGCTGATTCCCAATCTTGGCTGCACTGTGTTGTCCTTTCAAAGATTCAGGATATGCACTGATCTCTTAAAAGAAAACACCAGTGCAATTGTGTAAATTGATTAGTTCTATGCTGCCATCAGGGAACTGTGTTTGAAGGGAGTGTGAATTGAAGGCAGGATACAACACTGTGGTACCAATTTTCAAGATACCAGCAAACAGACTTCTTGCTGAGAGCAAAGACTGAGTCGATTTACCCTTTTTCTGTACATCAGATAGCTATAAGGTTTAAAATAATTGCACATTACTTTTTTCACATTCATTAATAAATTATGAGTATATGCTGATGTGATTAGTGATTCTTCATTTCAAATGCATGGATATATTTTACTACATGTAAAATACCATGAAATAAGAACAGAAGGTGCTGGAGAAACTCAATAGGTCTGGCAGTGTCTGTGGAGAGAGAAACACAGTTAATGCTTTGACTCCAATGTTACTCTTTCAGAACTCAAGTAAAATGTAAAATAGAATGAGGTTTCTTTGAAAGTATGAAAAAAGGCTCTGTTCATTAATTTTCCAGTGTTCAATGGTCCCTGATTCCAGATAATGCACATTTATCACCTTGCAGCATCACTTAGTGAAAGATTGACTGTAAAACTTGTTTTTGAGATTAATTACAAAGCCACTGTATTTTGTAGGCTTGCACAAACTCAAATTGTTAGTTTTAATCATCATATCCAACTCAACAATGATATCTGGAACTTGCAAATTATTATCTGTGATATTCACTATTGCCTCCTTCAAACAATACCATATATATTAACAGTGGAAATAACAATTTCAAGGTCTGTAGTTAATCATATTTGAGGCAACAGCAATTAAAATTACTTTGGATAATCAACAGGTTTCTAAAAGCAGTGAAAACTGAACTGACTATGAAGAAGTTCTTTTATTTGTTTTCTGGCCGTGTTATGTGATTTCATGCATGTCTTGACACAATTCCAACAATTGCAAAGACAGTTTTGAGAACATACAGATAATATTACTGTGACAAAATGGGACAAAGCTCTATTTACTCTGGTTAACTCATTTTACCTTTATTGCCATCATTTTCTCTACAGGTAAAATGCGATGAATGCCCTTTCATGTATTCAACTTAAATTTATCTTTCTCATGTCTTGAAGGTATTAACCGAGTACACCTTTTAACTTTAGGACCTCTCATTTTAAGAGTGAGCCCTTCATTCTAATCAGAGTAGGAGAGTGTATTTTGTAATATAATTTTTGGACTTACCTCATATTCTTCCTTAAAGCCATAACCCTTGCCACATTTCATCTGTGTGATGTGCTGCAGTAGATCTGCTACTCGTATAGCAGGTTGAAGGTGTCCAGTTTGATATGACATTTCAACAGGTTCACAATTTCTGTAGGAATGAGTTTGAACGACTCTAGCTGGCTGACTGATATCCTCATGGTTGCTGTCTGCATTTCAATAACATCAGATAATCAGAAACCAAAGTTCTTTAAGCAATCTTGAATCTGCCACATGCATACACCAGAAGTGGTAATACAAATCATCTACTTTACTACTGCAAAAAAAGATACTTCTGGTTCACCATTAATGAAATGTTTTTGTTAGTTCTTTCTATATATTTTCTAGTAAAACTTAAAGAGAGTAAAATGGAAATTTGTGAGATGAGATAAATGGTGAGAAAATATTGTCTGAAGGAAAGAATTAAGGTATGATGTCAAAAAGGAAGATGATAATATTAAGGGGCCATTTTTCAATCAGTTTTCAATTGATAAGGAATTTCTAAAACTTAAGACGGTTGGAAAAAAACTTCAGTGTTTCCATTATAAACCAAAATCCTAGAAATACACAGTGAATCTGATAAAGAGTACTTATCTGAAACTGACCTCACCTACATTTCAGCAATAGTTTGCATTTATATAGCATCTTTAATACAACAAAACATCCAAGGTGTTTCACAGAAGGATCATCAAACAAAATTTGACAGTTCCCAACATTAGGAGCTTTTGCAGCATGTTAACAGGGATAGGTTTTAAGGACCGTCTTAAAGGACGAGTGAAAAGTAGAGATAAGGAGCGTTTAAGGAAATAATTCCAATGTTTTGGGTAATTCTAACCACAGTTACTGATGGTAGAATGATGAAAATTGGGGACATGTAAGACGCCAAGCATTCCAGTAGTCTCTATTCGCATTACAGATTTTCAAAATTGGCTGCTTTTCCTCTATTTCTTTCTTGAAATTTCTAAATGCCTGAAGTATTTAGAAATGCAAGGTGCAGTACTAACTCGAAGGCACTAGAAGTCACTGTTTCCCTTAGCAAACATGATACCTTTCTGAAGATTTCCTAAAAATATCCAGTGGCAGTTATTTCATTCCAGAAAATCCCACCCTTTGAATAATGCTGCGTTTAGACTGCAGGGTAGGAGCTCTTACTGTGTGCTTACTGGTAATTCTGAAGTGAATCAATGGAAAATCACAAGCTGGCTGTGCAGCATGTGGATTTCTCCCCTGTCAATGCAGGTCAGCCAGCATCTGTGGATAGAAACAGAGTTAACATCTCAGGTCAGTGCTGACTTGAAACATTGACTATGTTTCTCTCTCCGTAGATGCTGTTTCACGTGCAGACTATTTCTAGCATTTTATGTTTACATTTTGGTTTTACAGCATGTGGACTATTTTATTTTTGATCTACCCTTACAAATTTAGGGTCAGTCTAAATCTGGGAGTGCCACTTTTTTTTGCTCTAGTATCAAATAAGACATTTGCAACAGATTCGGGCTGTGCTAACACTAGAACCACAAAAATGCTATGAGGTGTAAACACTTCACACTGATGCTATAGATGTTTAAACAGTGAAAGGAATATCAAAGCAGTGGTAAATTCTTAGTTCATGGCTAATTAGATAGTCGAACAGTATATTTCTATACCTTTTGAAGTCAGATTTGTGTGTGAATGAATTTCTTCACATTTAACTGTAACTTCAATGATGTCTTTTATCTGACTCAGTTTGAAAAGGACACAATCTGAAAAATGAACTCAAAAGATGCTGGTTTTGCTGAAGGGATATTATTACCTGATTGTTTTTTGTGCAAGCTCCTTGATATCAGCTCAAATGTAAACCTCCAATAAACTAGCTCAATCAGCTTAGTTTTTTGTGGCCAGTTTATGGACAAGTATTGCTTCATTTGAATGGACTTTCACATTAGCAAAACAATTGTGAATGCTCCTGCATGAGGTCATAAAGGGGACAAACCACTCATGCTTGATGTTATGTTTTCATTGTATTCTACGCATTTATCTGACTGGAAACTTCAGAACCTCACATAAAGTGTGTGAAATTCCACTTTAAGAATCATGTAAATGTAAAAATATCAATATATAAAAAAAACACACTTAAGTCAGATCATTAAATCAGGGTCCAAACCTCTGGCATTCAGATCATCACAGATGGACTGAATTAGGAGAGGTACATCACTATCCCATGGCAGTCCTTCCTGATGGCCACAGATCTGCTGAAATTACCTGGAAAGTTTATACTCCCAGGGCCACAGACACAGAGTTCAGGATCAGAGACTTGGGCCAGAAACACAGGACATCCCTGGGTACACACCCAGGAAATGTTCCACTGTTCAATACTTGGTCTAACTTTGTGATTAGTCATTATAACAGAAATGAGCAGCTTAAATAACTCTCATACTCATCCCCCAAGTGGACCTGATTGTCCCCTGACCCAACCAGCCATTGGACCTGACCTGATTGCCTCTTGATTTGACTCAGCACCATACCGTGCACCTGACTGGACCCCAACCAGTCTTGACTATCCCCTGACCTGACCTACCAACCAACTGGCTACATGGTTATGCCCTCATTCATCAAACTACCCCAGAACATGCCCCACAACCACATGACTTCTCCACTTGTCTACTTGCCTTGACTGCCCAACTGCATCTTGACCATCTGATGCAAGTTTGGGTGAGACCAAATGTAATGGAATTGGATTTCATTTCATTTTGCCAGCTAATTTATCGTAATTTTACCACCCTCCTCGGCGGCCTTTTCATCAACACATATGCTTAGAAAGTCTTGTCCAAAGTCAACACCTGAATCAGCTTAAAAATTCAGCAAATTTACAGTCAACAATATTCTTTTGTTATGCTAATATTAACTAATTCAAAGTGTTATAGCAGTGATTTGCAGCCCTGCAATCTTATTCATCCAGTGATTAGATTAAGTTATTGTGGTATGGGAAAAATGCCAGTGAGTTGATCTGAAGTGGCACTGGACAAAACTATAATTTTAATATTTTATCATCTTTTAATACTGTAGAAAAACATGTATAATTATTGGAGCAGGGACATAAAATCCCGATTCAAATTTACAAGCTAATATTTTAATGCCTATAAACAAACCTATATACCAACTGTCATCACTCATTGCTCAAGTCGATCATATGGTCAATTCAAAAATGTCTCAGAGCTGTTTGAGCCTGACCAACCCATTGCTAAAATGTATATTCTATGAAAAAAAAACAAAGAGCTACAAATCCTGGAAATCAGAAACAAAAACAGACATTGCTGGGAAAGTTCAGTAGGTCTGGCAGCATCTGTGGAGAGAAATCAGACTTAACATTGCAGGGTCACAGTGTGGAGTTGGAGGAACACAGCAGGTCAGGCAGCATCAGAGGAACAGGAAAGTTGATGTCTGAATTCTGAAGATGGGTCCTGACCTGAAACATCAACTTTCCTACTCCGCTCATGCTGCCTAATTTGCTATGTTCCTCCAACTCCGCATTGTGACTCTGACTCCAGCATCTGCAATTCTTGCTAAACAGTTTGCAGAACAGTTCTGAAGAAGGGTTATGGGACCCTTAAACATTAACTCTGATTTCTCTCCACAGATACTGCCAGACCTACTGAGTTTTCCCAGCAACTTATGTTTATATTCTATAAGTTCTGTTCTTCAAACTGTTCCCAGAGTCATATCAAGAAAATCAAGTAAAACATAACAAGCCCACTGAACACATAGAACAAGAACAAAGAACAAAGAACTGTCTTCACTTATCGGATCCATATCCCTCTATTCCATTCCTATTCATGTGTTCATCCAGATGCTTCTTGAATGCTGCCATTGTGTCTGCTTCCACCACCTCCTCTGGCAACGTGTTCCAGACACTCACCACCCTTTGTGTGAAAAACGTGCCTCACACATCTCTTTTAAACTTCCCCCTTGCACCTTCAACCTGTGTCCCCTAGTAATTGACCACTCCACCTGAGGAAAAGGCCTCAAACTTTCCACTCTATTCAAGACATTCACAATCTTATAAACTTCTCTCAGGTCACTCCTCAACCTCCTGCGTTCCAGTGAAAACAAATCCAGTCTATCCAACTTTTCTTCATAGCTAAAATCCCCCATACCAGGCAACATCCTGGTAGACCATTTCTGTACCCTCTCCAAAGTATCCACATCCTTCTGGCAGTGTGGTAACCAGAACTGTATGCAATATTCCAAGTGTGGCCTAACTAAAGTTCTATAAAGATGCAGTATAACTTGCCTATCCTTAAACTCAATGCCCTTCCAATGAAAGCAAGCATGCCATAGGCCTTTTTTATTTCTTTATCTACCTGCACTGCCACCTTCAGTGATCTGTGGACCTGCACACCCAGATCTCTCTGCATATCGATACTCCTAAGGGTTCTGCCATTCACTGTGTAATTTCCACTTGTACTTGACCTTCTAAAATGCATCTTCAGCACACATTTGTCTGGATTAAACTCCCTCTGCCATTTTTTTACCCATGCCTCCAAATGATCTATATCCTCTTGTATCCTCTGGCAATTCTACTCACTATCTGCAACTCCACCAATCTTTGTATCATCTGCAAACTTACTGATTAGACCAGCTACATATACCTCCAAATCATTTATGTAGACCATGAACAGCAGAGGTCCCAGCACTGATCCTTGTGGAACACCACTCGTCACAACCCTCCATTTCGAAAAGCATCCTTCCACCACTACCCTCTGTCTCCTATGACTAAGCCAGTTCTGTATCCATCTCGCCAGTTCACCCTTGGCACCATGTGACTTGACCTTTTGTATTGGTCTGCTGTGAGGACCTTGTCAAAGCCTTTACTGACATCCACGTAGACAACAGCAACTGTTTTTCCCTCATCAATCATCTTTGTCACCTCCTCAAAAAACTCAATCAAGTTAGTGAGGCAAGATCGCTCCCACACAAAACCACGCTGTCTATTGCTAATAAGTCCATTTGCTTTAAAATGCATACAGATCTTGTCTCCGAGAATCTTTTCCAATAATTTCCCTATCACTGACATGAGGCTCACAGGCCTAAATTTCCAGGATTATCAGTGTTACCCTTCTTAAACAATGGGACAACATTGGCTATTGTCTGGTCCTCTGGGACCTCACCTGTGGCCAAAAAGGATACAAAG